GGTTACAAGTGTCTCTTTTAATGGCAGCCTGACATCGAATGTCACAATGGCCGAAGTTACTGGATTAATCCCTGGGACATCGTACAATTTTAAGGTCTTTGCAGTAGCACCTAATAATACAGAAGGAGAGGGAGCATCTATAAGCCTGTATACTAGTAAGTGGCTGTTTCTGGCTGTTGTGTTTCTGGTGGTCTGTGATTTGCTGTGCAGCACAGGGCACTGCCTACCTGAATGAGGCTTCTAATTCATCACTGGTGTGTGCAGAGGGGATAGTTTTTTTCCTGGAGCATGTTGTGTGATCCCAAAGTGTGGGCTTTTAGAGTGCAGAGGAAGCACAACCCAGATGGTATTTGAATTTGTCACTGGTGCCTGCAAAACAGAATTTTCTCAAGGGCCTCTCTCTCCCTGAAATCCGAATGCTGGCACACTGGTCAAGTATGCTGTTGATTCTGAATGCAGGAGATTGATGAATTCCACTCAAGATGTCTCTTCCTCACTTTTCTCTTACAAGTCCGTTGATGGCAAATCCACCAGGAGCCTCTGGTGCTGTTCCTATGGTGCTTGTTGCACTTTTAGTGAGAAGCAATGTGAAGAAAGTGTAGTGGTGTGACTGTGGCTTTTTTTTCTTTCTTTTTTTTTCTGTTGTTGTTTTTGAGTGGGTATTCTTGCAAGTTGATGGAGTGCTGTCTTGCCTTTCCCAGAGCCCAGCCCAGTGCTTGATCTCAAGGCTGAGTATGTTGGTGTGACTACTGTCAACCTAACCTGGACAGTGAATGACACAGCTTTGACTGCGTACACGTACAGGATAGAGGTTAGGAATGCTAACTCCATTAACAACGAAACGTCAAATATCAACAAAATTGAAATCACTGGGTTAATCCCTGGAACATCCTATAACTTCAAAGTATTTGCAACACCAGTCAACAGTACAACTGAAGAAGAAGGATTGTCCTTAAGCCTGTATACAAGTAAGAAAATATTGGTGCCTCTCAATTCCAGATAAACTTGGAGTCTATTTTAAACAGCTCAGCTTTTAACCTTTGGTTTCTGATGTGACAGTGTTTCACAATGCAATGATGCTTTCTTCCTGGAGCTAGAAAAAAGAAGGTTGGTGTTATTGAAATGTTGTATGGCTACAATTAATCCTCAGCGTGGAATTAAGGGAATGTGACTGGCATTTTTTCTCTCTGTATTTCTTTATCTTGACAGTTTGTTTTCCTGCCTTTCTTAGAGCCCAGCCCGGTGCTTCATGTCATGGCAGAGTATGTTGGTGTGACTTCTGTCAACTTAAGCTGGACAGTGAACGACACAGCTTCAAACTCCTACACGTACAGAATAGAGGTTAGAAATGAGGCTTCCGTTAACAACGAGACATCAAATATCACAGAAACTGAAATTACTGGGTTAACCCCTGGGATGCCGTACAATTTCACAGTCTTTGCAGTAGCAGCTGATGGTGAGACGGAAGGAGAAGGAGCATCCATAAGCCTGTATACAAGTAAGTGACAGTTTTTTGCAGTTGTGTTTCTGGTGGGCTGTGTTTTGCTGTGCATCACAGGGCTCTGCATACCTGGCTTGTAATTCAGTGCTGGAGTGGGCAGCGGTGATGTTTTCATCCTGGAGCCCAATGCAGGCTGTTTGCAAGACATGGGATATTAGAGTGCAGCAAAAACACTGCCCTGATCTGATTTTAGTTTTGTAGCTTGCTCATTTTAATTGTACTCCTTCTATATATTCTTCTCAGCCCTTGTCTCTTTC